CAACCTACGTCACGTAGTAGAGAGAGAGAGAGAGAGAGAGGGGGAGGGGATCCGCGGTTCCGGATTCCCTCCCAACAGGGAAATAGAGAGAGAAAGGTGAAGCCCAAGCTTCTTTGTCTGAACTTTCTCTCTCTAAGAATTTCTGTGAACTTTCTCTCTCTAAGAGTTTCTTTGAACTTTCTCTCTCTAAAAAGAATTAAGGACCCGCAGCACGAGCAGTACCAAGAAGGAGAGAGAGAAAAAGTTGGAACCCTTTGATTTTTTTGCAGAAGAAAGATGACCTCTCATGGCTACTCTGTAGAGCTCTACTTCGACCCTGCCCTAGAAAACCAGGTGCTCAAAGCCTGGAACGTCTTAGCTCGACGTCAAATCTCGACCCACCTCATTCAAATGGAGTCTCGGCCCCATATAACTCTTTTCTCCACTTCCTCTATCGACCCACCTAAGCTTCTCTCTCCTATCAAGTCCTTCGCCTCTCGATTGGAGCCCATCCCCCTTTCTCTCTCATCTGTTGCCGCCTCCTCTTCTCTCTCTTCCTCCTCTCTCTCTCTGGAAAGCAACCTCCTCTTCCTCTGTCCAACCCCCACATTCTCGCTCCTCGACCTCCACTCTCGCCTCATCGACTCTCTGAAGAAAGAGGGAATCGAAATACCGGAGCCCTTTCGGCCTGATTCATGGATACCCCATTGCTTAGTTGCGCAAGATGTGCCTCAAGAACGCATGGGGGAAACATTTACTGTGCTCAGAGATGTTCTCAAGCTCCCTGTCTCTGGTTACGGCCTTCATGTCGGGCTTGTTGAGTTTCCTCCAGTTCGAGAGCTCTTCTCATTTCCAGTTGGCAACCCCTCTGATTTCTAGCTCTAGCCCCAATTCCTCTTGTTTGGTGGATCTGGTTCTCTGAATGCTGGTACTGATGTATGAGAGAGAGGGTGGTGCCATTGTTGGGTTGTTTCTCTCTCTCTCCTGTCCCAAAACTCAGGTACGTGCAAATAGCAGTTCTGTTGAGTTCTCTCTCAAGGTGATATTCCTGTTTTGCAAGAGCAACCTGGTGGCTTTATTGGGTTGTTTATCTTTTCTCTCTCTATTGTTATGAGTGAATGCTCCCTGGCTCCTGTGAGTTTTTATACTGCTAACGCATAATTGCCGATGCCATCATTGCTGGGTTCTATTGCTTTCTCTCTCTCTGATGTTCTATAGATCTTTGGGGGAAATTTGGTAATGCATTCCTAATGTAAGTTGTGATCCCTGTCTTATTAGTGACTGTCTTATTAGTCACTGATTGTGCGTTGTAATTGGCCTTTGTTATAACTTATTAGCATAGTGAAGCTCCAGTTGTGCATTGCTTTGTTGAGGAGAAATTTACTGAATTGAGAATCACCTGGTTTGTAATTGGCCTTTGTTATAACTTATTTGTTATAACTTATTTGCATAGTGAAGCTCCCGAAGTGCATTGCTTTGTTGAGGAGAAATTTACTGAATTGAGAATCACCTGGTTTGATGAACTGTTATTAATATTTAATGGGGGTTCAGTTACCAATTCCAAAAAAAATAAAATTCAATGGGGGTTGACGACCCCGATGTTATATTCTGGATTTCATCTATTTATTTTATATCCATGCAGAGCGACTGATTTAAATCTGAAGTTTGTAAGTGAAATAGAAATCATGCATTTACTTTCTTCTATTCTAGTTTAAATATCGGGTGGATTTTATGGTTATGCTGGATTTTGAGATACGTGGTGGAATCGAAAGGCAAATAAACTTCACACACTGAACTGGGCCTGCACTTTTACTTTTCTATCCACTGTGTGAATGGTTCTCTTGCTGTATCTGAAAAATATGAAGAGAATCTGTCCCTTATGGGCTAAAGTAAATTGACTAAATTAAAATAAAATCATGGCATGAGTTCCAAATTTGTTTGGTACTAATTTCCGAGTCAACTTGAACCGACTGCTATTGATCTCTTCTTTAGTGTACTTTACTTGTTTTCTTCTATAGGAAAACCAGTAAGCACTTCAGTCAACAGTGGCATCTCTGTGCCCTTTCCCTGTCTCTCATGGCCAAAAATCTTGAGCTTCTAGCATAAAAAAAATAAAAATAAAAATCTTGAGCTCCTATTTTGTGAGTAAGCCCCTTCATTTTTCGTAATTTCCTCCTCCTTTATCTCTCTTTTTCTTCTTGACAATTCGTTATACTTTAAAGTGTTAATGAACTTCCATTGTCTTAGTTTTTTCTCTTTTCCTCTTTACTATTAATTATATGTGAAATTGTTAATGGAAGGTTATGCAAAAAGACCTTGAGTATGCAACTTGAACTGATGTTACGAAGAAAACTCTATCACTCAATTGCTGTTTGTTCTTTTTTTTAATGTATATGCGTGGTGAAGCTGTTAAACAAGAGACTATTTTGGTGGCGCACATATGTGTTGAATGATCACCTCCCTGTGCACATGTGTATACAGAAAAGCTAGACATGTCTCAAATCTCAGTAGAAGGCATTGTCATAATGCCAAATGATCAATCATGCCCTAAGATCACCTAGTTATATGTGTTCTGTTATCCCCGTTAGTTAACAAAGGTCTAGAGTCATAAAAAAAGCCATATGGATTTTTATCGCTCTCCACAACCTCCAAGATAGAGAAAGTCCAAACAGGCCAAATTCTATTTGGATGTTAACCTGGCTCGCAACATCTCATAAACAATAGTTGGTAAGGCTTGAGCCAGCTAAATACTTGACTATGAAACATCAGTTGCACTTTTCATTTAATATGAGTATGCTAATGACTTGATGCATGCAAGGGTGAAGATAGATTTGTAATTTTCGTTAAACATCAGTTACACTTTTACATGAATCTAGAGCTGCTAATGACATTGTGAGCTTAGTTGTTGTTGGTTGTTTATATCATCTGGTGGCTTTGTTGATACTTGATAGATATCATTTTGGGAATCAGTGATTAAAAACTCATTTTCAATTCTGAAAACTATATTTCAAAATAAAAACTCTGAAAAAGTCGCTGATTTCACTTGATTCAGCCATTTGGTGAGTTTTATGATTGAAAACTTCAGACATACTGGAGTCCCTCCCCCCCCCCCCCTCGCCCCCCCTCTCCTTCCCTCTCTCTTTTGTGTGTGTGTGTATTATGTTCTTTTGTTATGTTTGACATTTAATGAAGTTATAGGCAAGTAGTTTAATTCGAGTACAATGAATGACACATGTTTGTTTTCAACTCTTTACAAAGTTTGAAAAACTCTTCTGGGTTTTGGTGGGTTAACTGTTTAACTAGGCGTGTAGACTTGGTGTGGCTATGATTGAGTCTGCTGAATTTTTTGGGGTTTTGAAAACTGATGGGAACTTTAATAGAAGTTACAAGGCATATGACCTTCACCTTGTTAATGCACACTTAATTCTGAGCCTCCTTGAGCTGCCTTCAAAGTTCTCATTTGCCATTGAGGACACTCTAGGAATGCATGCATGCCCCTTTCTTGAACTGTGGGTAACCAACATGCGTCACATTGCAATGGCCTATTACAAAACAATGATCATCAGTAGTAGACTGTTGTGTTATGTTTGACATTTAATGAAGTTATAGGCAAGTAGTTTGATTCATGTACAATGAATGACCATGTTTGTTTTCAACTCTTTACAAAGTTTGCAAAACTCTTCTTGGTTTTGGTGGGTTAACTGTTTAACTAGGCGTGTAGACGTGGTGTCGGCTCTGATTTGAGTCTGCTGATTTTTTGGGGTTTTGAAAACTGATGGGAACTTTAATAGAAGTTACAAGGCATATGACCTTCACCTTGTTAATGCACATTTAATTCTAAGCCTCCTTGAGCTACCTGCAAAGTTCTCGTTTGCCATCGAGAACACTCTAATAATGCATGCATACCCCTTTCTTGAGCTGTGGGTAGCCAAGATGCGTCACATTGCAATGGCCTATTACAAAACAGTGATCTTCAGTAGTAAACTGTTGTTCTTATAATTTGATTTACTCCTCAATTTTAAACACTAAAGAAAATTCTATGTAATTTCTTACTTTTGGAACTCTTCATTAAAAATTTTTATGAAGAAATGACTGATAAAGTATGTGGATGTAAATTATATGAGGTTACGATCAAAAGAGGAAAACTCTAAGTGGTGATTTTGCCATATAGACAAAAGGGCTATGATGATTCTTTCAGAACAAAGGGCTGAGAAGATTGTGCAAACAAACAAACTGTAATGGTGAGCTTCACAGTATTCTTAGAGAGACAACTTTATTGCCAACAAAGGAGCATGGTGTAGGAGATGCTGGACTAAGTTTGGGAGAGTAATATTGTTAGTGAATTTTCCACGACAACATTACCTGCAATGGAATGAATGATCTACAGTTTTTCTTCCTTCATCACTTCTACCTCCTATCTGTGGTGTTAAGAAGACAAGTTGATGTGCATTTGCTGCTTGTTGAATGAATGATCAATAGTCTTCCCAACAAAATTCCCTTGTATGTATAAACACAGATGGAAACATTCTTATGAGAAATATAAATATGGATTACTTCCGTAAGGGTGTTTTGCAGGGTGCCCTTTGTTAAAAAAAGAAGAAGCAAAGTGAATAACGAATAAAATAAAATGTAAGTTTATCTCGTAGCACTGCCTATTCTTCTAGACTTTGTGCTGGGGAATAGGGTTCTTATCTTTTTCCAGTTCGGAAAGTTGTGGTTGTTGCTGCCTGGGCTGAAGGGTTAGGTAGAGGAACCATGGATGCTTAATGTATCTAGATAGGATTCAAAATGGGCAAGGAAAACTAAAGGAATGGACCAATGTTCCAAAAAACAGCCCACCTAGCGGCCTGGGCGCATTTCTCAGGCGTAGGCGGCCTCCTCCAGCGCCTAGCCCTCGGCGAGCGCCAAGAGACTTGTCTGCCCAGGGGCAAAAAAGCCCCTCGTGGAGGGGTATTTTTGTACTGCCCCCCTAAATAAGGGGGAAGGGGTTAGGGGTTAGGTTTTTAGGTGTCCTAAACCCTTTTTTTTTAACATATTAGAATGTAAAAAAAAAGAAAAAGCACACATATTTGTTTTCCTGTTAGGTTAATTCAAAGTTTTGAAATTGATCCGAACATTATCCTTTAGGTTTGGATTTTTTTTTATAGATTTTTGGTAATAGCATGGAGTGTAGGGACTATAGGCTATGTGTTATGTTGATATGTGTATGAGTTAATAACAAGTATGCGGTGTTTGGGTTGGGCTTTGGACTATGGAGTATGGATTAATTGGATTGTAATCTAATAATTGGTGACTTGTTAGTTTGTGCCTATATGGTTATTATATTTTGCTTTTGATTGTGTTAGGACTTAGTACTAGCAGTTTAGTCTACCAGGAATTTATTGAATTTGGATTATGTTTTTCTATTTTTCTTAATTTGTTATTAATTAATTGCCCAAATCTCAAATACTTTGGTTTGTCGTTGGAGTATGGATTGATTGAACATAAAATATGTATTAAAAATGCCTCAATATGCATTTTTACACACAATTTTGGACCTAAAGCAGTTTTTTTGGACACCTCTCACCCCTGTTATTTTCTGGGCGGCCAAGATCCCCCAGTCGCCTAGGCGCTGCTCGGCATTTTTTGGAACATCGGAAAGGACTGATCAAGTTTTGACCACTGGAAGGAGGGCCAATGAAGACTTTGGCGGAGATAGATGATGACAAACTATAGGAAGAGCCCATGCTTTTAGAAGTAGAGACTTGAAAGTGGAACTGATAGCGAAATATCATAATATCATATTATCTTTTTAGGTAGAGGAATGGGTAGGCATTAAAAACTTATAATGATATGGCATTAGGAAGGGGATCACAATATTAGGATCTTCTGCAAAATTGTAAAATGTTAGACGGAAAGAAATTGGTCAATGATACCATCATCCTTAGTAGTGTCGTGGGAGCAAACTAGAGGTTGTGCAGGTTGTCTGAACCTTTTTTACAACAATGAGGAAAAATCTAA